CTTCTATAGGGCCTGAGCAGGGATGAGGGGGACATGGCCAAGGCAGGGGAGGCCTGGTGGAAGCTCCCTCCCCCAATCCTGCCTCTCCCAAATTACCCTTAAGTTCAGAGGTGAGGGTCTTCAGAAAAAAAGGTTGCTTTCATCTACAAGCGCAGCGACCTTGTCCTCCTGTGGATGCCCACTGAGGTCGATTCTGACTCAACAGCGCCCTCTCTGGTGCAGAAGAGAGGTGCAAACGCTCCCTACCGTTTCAAAGGCCGTGAATCTCCCTCCCAAGGAGCCCCGGGTGGCTTAGTGGTTACTTTGGGGGATGTGATCAGTGAGGAGAAAGACCGGGCTTTCTACTACCGTAAAGAATTACAGCCTTTTAAAAAAAGAAATTACAGTCTTGGAAACCCACAGACTGTTCTAGCCTGTCCTATAGGATCGCTGAGTCAGCACTGACCTAGCAGGCAGTGAGTTTGGCTTCGAATGTAAATCTCGCGTATCTCCCTCGGCCTCATTCTTCTCCCTGGAAGGAGCTGGTGGTTTCCAACTGCTGACCTTTGGGGTATGGGCCCAGTGCTTAACCCCCTGCACCACCAAGACGCCTTTCCTTTGGACCAAAACCAACCCAAACTCACTGCCACAGAGTCAATTACAACTCATAGCGACCCTACAGGGCAGGAGAGACCTGCCCCTGTGAATTCTCAAGACAACAAATCTTTACGGGACGAGACAGCCTCCTCTTTCTCCCCCAGAGGGGCCGTGGATTCAAACAGCTGACCTCGTGTTAGCAACTCAATAGTAACCCACTAACTGATGAGTGGCAGGTCATTTTCAGCCATAGGGCTGAGGTGAAAGTTAAGTCTGGGGCGTGTAAAACATCAGCTATCATCTGGGCTGGACCCAGACGTCTACGGCAAACTAGGAATGTGCATTAACCACGTGGACACTTGCTGGGGGCTTCCCAAGTGTCAGGCGTGGAGCAGGAAACTGAGGCACGGAGAGGTTGCTGTTGCTAGAGAATGGCAAAGCCTCCATTTGGGTCCTGACCAGAGCCAAACACGCACACACGCCGACCAGCACCCTCCCTGGAAAGCCCAACCTCATCTCTGTCTTTGCCTCCCCCAGAGCGGGCACCCCCAGCCCGGGCCCTGCGGGCAGCCCAGAACCTGCTGGCCTGTGGCGTGGCCCGAGGTGCCCTGAGCTCCCGGTACGAGGTCAAGGGGCACCGGGACGTGCAACAGACACTCTCCCCCGGAGACCAGCTCTACGCCATCATCCAAACCTGGCCCCGCTACCGCGGCTAGTGAGGCCCAGCACGCCTCCCGCCCCTGCCCCCTCCCCAGAACCCCTGCGCTGTCCTCTGCCAATAAAGATGCACCTCTCACTTGGGTCCGCCAGGCGCTGACTGCCCCCCCCACCCTGTTCCTCCCCGAAACATGGTCCTCGCTGGTACTCAGAACCCAGAGGCCCTGACCCTGAACCAAAACCCCGGAGATCCCAGCTCGGCAGCCACATCAGGGCTCAGAACCCAGAGGTCTTGAGTCAGAGCCCAGGAATAGGCACCACGTCGGCCCGGCGGCATCAGGGACAGCAGCTCGGGGGCAGGGGGGATACGCCAGGCTGCATGACCCCCTTCTCCTACGGCGTGGCCACTCTGGGATCCCTCTGGGGACCAGCAGCTCATCACCCCACCTAGGGTCACCCCTTTCAAAGCACAGGCTTCTCTCAGGATCCTGAACCTGTCTCCCAGACAGACACACGGGGTCTGATTTCACCCGAACCTCAAGTCTTCCTCTCTCCCCTCTGCACGCCTACTTCAGTCATAACTTGAGGGGTCCCAAGAACACATGCGTTTATTTACAAAAGGCACAAATCCTCCCTCCCAACACATTTCGGCGGGTGGGGCAGAGGTGGGCAGAACCTCACCTGGCCAGCCCAGAGCTCCAGGAGAGGTGGGGCTTGGCAGACAGCTCAGCCCTGCTCCCATGTCATAACCATCCACACACACACACACAAAATCCCAGTTGCATGAGGTCATGACCGCGTGTCCAGCCGGTTCATATACTCCTGCAAGGCCTTTAGGCGGGCGTCTATTTCGGCCATGTCGGCCGCCTGGTAGTCTGAGCTGTAGTCTGTGGGGGTGGGCAGGAGGGTGGGAGGCTGTAAGGGACCCAATTTGATGCCCTTGGCCCCATCCCAGCATGCTAGGGTGGAGGGAAGTTGACAGGAGGGGAAAAAGGGAGTCCCAGGCTCACCTTTGATAGGGACCCAGCCCCCGGACTTGTCCAGGCGAAGGTGGCCGCTGCGTTCCAGGGCGGTGGACTTCTGCTGCTGCTGGGAGAGGGAGGGGCGGAAGAGCATCAGGCTCCCTCCCCCTTTTTCTGGCCCCTTCCCTCCACTGGATGCTCAAAACTAGGTCCTCAGAAACAACGGGGCTGACACAGACCACTAAGCAACCCCCTGGGTGGCCAAGGTCACCCCGTTCCCATTGCATCGATACTGAAACTGGGGGCTAAGAAACTGCCCGCGGCCCCACAGGTGGTAGAAGGGGGAGTAAGATTTTAAAGTCTTAGCCAGTGTCCCCGCCCCTCCCACCGTTGGGTCTGGCAACACTCAGCCTCTGGCAGCATTTCAAGGCCGCCTCTGCAACCTGACCCCGCAGGAGGGATGGGAGGTGGTGAAGCTGGCTGCCTCCCCCCTACACCTCCCACCCGCCAGGGTGCGGAAGGCTCTCACCGGATTGGACCTACTCCAGGTGGAGGGGCTGGGCGGCTTCCTGCGGCGACGAACCCTGAAAGGACGGATGGGGTGGTGCCTTTGCCCGCCTTCCACGGTTTCAAAGCCCTCCCGGCCTCTGCAGACGCCCAATTCAAGGTGGTCCTGGTCTCCCTAGCCCAAGTTTTACCCTCTGGAAATCGACTCGGAGAAATCCTCCAACTCGCTGCAGGAGCTGGCAGATGAGCAGCGGCTGCGGAAACTTTCCACTAGAGGGGGGAAGTGAGCATGAGGCTGGGGAGCAACCGGACAGCCGGCATCGCTGGCCTGCCTGGCACCACCCAGCACCCGCCTGACCCTCGGCCCTCGCTCTAGCCCGTTACCTGACGAGCTGCGGTTTCGCGAGCGGTTAGCCGCGTCCCCTCGGCCAGTCACAGGCAGAGGGGGACGGTTCTGACGAGACCATGAGATGGCCGGGCCGTCCCCACTGCCCCCGCTGCCCAATCGGTTCCGCTGCTGCTGCCTGGGGAGGAGACGAGACTCGCTTGGGTGTCAGCTACTGCGGAGGGTGGCCCCGCCCAGTCACTGCCATGGCCGGAGTCCCTA